TTGTGTTCCCAAGTTGAAACAATTGAGCATTGTTTTCTCTTTAGCCCTCGCGTGCGCGCTGTGTGGAATTGCTTTACGCCTTATCTGTCTTGTCTTTCTACTTCCCCTTTTTCTGTTAACTCTTCTTGTATTTTCTTCCCTTTCTCGTCTTGCGCTTCTTCGCCTTCTTTCTCGCTCTACTGTTATTTAATCGCTACAATTTTATTTTGGATTTGGCAAACTAGAAATCTCGCAACTTTTCAAAAATGCTGTTTTGAATGTTAATCAAATTGTTAACCTGATTAAGAAAGATATCTCCTGCCGAATTTTGTGTGCAAAACAGGATAAAAAAGAAAATTTCTGGTCTACTAATAATGTTCTTTGTGAGTTTTCTGATGCTAACTCTATTTCTTTTTTCCCTTACTGTACATAAGCCTTTATTGTATATAGCCGCTTTTAATTTTAGTCCGCTTTATTTAGGTGCTCCTAGATATCTTTGTACATAGCCGCTTTTAATTTTAGTTTAGCCGTCTTGCCTACAAATATTTAGCCCATCGCTTTGTATATAGCCGCCTTAGCTTATTTAACTTGCTTTGTTTTCCTGTACATAGCCGCTCTAGGTACCGGAAGCCTTGTAAATATTTCTCGCTAATTTGCATTAATTTCCGGAAATCCTGTAAGCTTTTCGCGGAATCTTGTACATAGCTGCTCTACTTAACTTAATTTGCATTAATTCCCGGAAACCTTGTAAATAGTTAGCGTTAGTTTAGTTCCTTTTTTGTTTTTGTTTCCTTTTTGTAAATATGGTGGAGTTGGTCTTTCAATAAAACACCCTTGCGGGGGTTTATATATTCTTAAAAAAAAAAAATCTGTTCTTATCGGTCACGTTTTCGGTTTCTCCGCCGAAAACGTCAACAGTCCCCGTTCTCGCACTTCGATCGCCTTCCTTTCAGTCTCTTTCGGTTTGTTCTGAGGTTTGTTTTTGCGTTTTTGTTTTATTTTCGTCGATTTGAGCGGATTTATTCTACGCCACCAGACAGTGCTTTGCGCGATGGCTGTGCGACCCCGCGCAACCTTTGCGCACACAAAAACTGTGCGTCTTATAGTTGAAGACGGCATGGAAATTACAGCACTGGAAATTGTCCGATCTCTCCCGGACTTCAAAGAAGAAATTACTGGCATTGTCCCGAATTTTGGAGGTAAATGTTTCGACATTACTCTGTGATCCACTGATGCAGCAACACGCCTGGCTACATCCAGTTTCGATTATGGGCCCGAACGAAAGCCGCTCGAGCTCCTGGGAGCAAAAACTATCCATGTCTCTCTCGGTGTTTGTTGCCCTAGAATTCCCCGATCAGGAGATCGTAAATTTTTTAACGCAATATGGACAACTAAAGTCGGTAAATTTACGCCGCCTCTTTTACAATGAGAAGGCTTTAGAAACGTCGAGCGTGGCATACACGTGGCTAAATTTACTTCACTAGATAAGGACCTCCCCCAGAAGGTGGTGACCCAGGGGCTTGAAATTTTTTTCAAGTACACTGGACAGCCGATAACGTGCTATTGTTGCGGTTCAACAGAACATGTTGTGAAAAACTGCCCAAAGCAGCGTTCTCGCTTCAGCCACATACGCGTGGAGGACTGCGTTCTCACCGACCCTCCTAACCCTACGACTTCTCAAGCCTCTGAAAATTCTCAAATGGAAACGACCGTCGACGAAACCCCCAATGATACTTCCCCTGCTGAAAACTCTGTGGACGATTCTCCGCTAACACGGAGCTTCGCCTCAATCACGGATTCTACCCCAGATCTCTCGCTCGCTTTGGCCTCGCGAGACCTTTTCGACACTCAACAGTCTCAACAGTCAAGAAAACGCCCCCGCTCGTCCCCCGGAAAATCTGACAAACCAGAGGTGAAACAATGCGCCATTAGCGACAAAGTAAAGTCATCCCCTACCATCCAGGGTTTTCTTCGCGCATTAAAGCTGGCCGGACTCGAGTGCACTAAATTAATGAACACCATCATCAGACCTCAGAATTATCGCGCTCCTGCTCTTTACTTCCAGCACAAACACGGCAACTTCGCCGACCTGGAGCTTTCAAGCGCTGTTTGGCGTGGGCTGAACGATCGTGAACAGGACGCGTGGGTACAGCTACATCGTACTCTTTGTCAAGATGCTTTCGCTGAGCTGGTAGCAATGTCTGAGGATCTCGGCCGAAAACACCCCGGCCTTTTCAAGAACTAACTTTTTCTCTTACCGTCGCATTCACTTTTTATTTGTCCTTACTGTTTTTCGCCATGGCTGTCTCGCTGACATCCATTAACGTTAACGGCGCTGCCGAACGCCATAAGTGCCTTAAGGTTTTTTAATGTCTGCATAGCATAGGGGGGTCAGTGCACATGGTCCCCCGGCTCAAATAGGTCCGCGGGTGTCACAGTTCTTATTGACCAGAATAGTGCTGCGAAACTCGTGGACTCTAAAACCGATCTAGCGGGTAGAGTAGTCACAGCTCTTATCGATTTTCACGGGAATCATTTTCAATTAATTAATGTTTACGGGCCTAATAATTACCAAGAACGTGAAATATTTTTTGACAATCTCTGGCGCTTTAAATAACCTAACTCAGAATCTATTGTTGTCGGACATTTCAATTGTGTACCGGATATTGCGATAGATAAGTGGGGAGGCGATGACAGTTTTGGAGACAGCGCTGTCACGCAGCATCACTCTTTTAGTGAGTCACTCGCATTAGAAGACTTTTATCGCGTCTCTAACCTGAGCGCTAAGATTTTTACGTGGTTTAACGGCCCTCACTCCGTGGGATGTAGGCTAGATCGGTTTTATACAAGATGAGCCTCGAGATCACGCATCTCGCGACACACGTGTCTGCCCTTTGCGTACTCTGATCACCATTAAATTCAACTTCAGGTCACTTTAGGACCTACCAACCCCCGGGGTCGGGGGGTATGGAAATTTAACACACAGCTACTCAAAAACGAAAGTTTTTGTGCCGCAGTTAAGTCTTTTTGGTCCTCTTGGCAACAACATAAACCGCCTTTCACCTACCCTAGAGTTTGGTCGGACGCTGGAAAATTGCAACTAAAAGAAATCGCCATCGCTTATAGTATTGCCTAAGCATGTGAGCGTAAGGGTGACAATCTTAATTTAGAAAACGAATTTCGTAATATCCTTGCTCGCGGGTACTTCAAATACGACGTTCACGTTCGCTTAGCGGAGATCAGAGATCCCTTAAAAGCTACCGAAGATCGTAGTGTAGAAGGAGCAATAATCCGTAGCAGAGAGCAATGGTTAGAATTCAGGGAAAAACCCACAAAATATTTTTACCAACTCGAAAAGGAACGCCAGACTCGTAATCAGATAAATGAATTACGTGTCGAGGATCGGACAGTCATGTCTCATAAAATTATTTTGACAGCTTGCCGAGATTTTTATGTGAACTTGTACACTGCTGAACCGGTCGATTTAAAATGCCAAGACTTGCTTTTGAATCAACTGGATACCACTCTGACACCCGAAAATCAGGAGAAATGTGAAGGAGCCCTCGCGCTCTCCAAGTGTTCTGAGGCCCTTAGCCAGATGCAGACAAATAAATCTCCCGGAGCAGATGGCTTTCCGGTAGAATTTTATAGACACTTTTGGGGTTCGCTAGGACAAGACTTAGTTGAACTCCTAAATTATTCTTATGAACACGGGCAATTATCCGACTCGCAAAAGCAGGGGATAATTCGCTTGCTCTATAAAAAGGATGACCCGTTGCTCTTAAAAAACTGGCGCCTGATCTCTCTGCTCAACACGGATTATAAAATTTGCACCAAAGTACTGGCCAACCGGCTTAAAAAAATACTCTCTGTAATTCTGAGTGAAGATCAAACCTGTGATGTACCGGGCCGGAGTATCTATGAGAACTTATTTCTACTCCGAGATACTCTTGATTATATCGACCACAAACAGCTTTCTGGTGCGCTAATTAGTTTAGACCAGGACAAAGCCTTTCACGGTGTTAACCACGGCTTCCTGCAGCGTGTGTTAACACGTTTTAACTTCGGCCCGAGTTTTCGACAATGGGTGAATATTGTTTACACTGAGATTCACTCTTGCGTGCTAAATAATGGCTGGCTCTCAGCTAAAATCAAGCTCCACAGGGGAGTTCGACAGGGCTGTCCTCTTTCACCACTATTATACTGTTTAGTCGCCGAAACGCTAGGTCAAGCGATTCGCCGTTACAACAGTATTCGGGGTATTCCAATCCTCGGCGGAAATAAACAGAGTAAAGTCGCGCAATATGCCGATGACACTACTTTGATTCTCGCCGATAATTACTCTATAACTCAAAGTTTTAACCTCATTAATATTTTCGAGTGGGGCTCCGGTTCTCGCCTTAACGCACAAAAAACTGAGGGCTTGTGGCTGGGATCCGCGGCCGGTAAACAAACCGGACCGGTAAATATAACTTGGACCACAGACAAGCTTAAAATCCTCGGTGTTTATTTTGGCACCTCTAAAGTCGAGGACGCTAATTGGATTGACTGCGTAATTAAACTTGAAAAGCGACTTAACCTCTGGAAATCACGCACGCTATCACTAAAAGGTAAATCACTAATTATTAATTCTATCAGCGCCCACTTACAGGCAGCTTGACGGGCTTTAAAAACCTTAAGCGCCTAGTAAGTGGTCCCAGTCTGCCTCGTTTTCGTGTTCCCTGTCCCCCTATAGGTTAATGGCCGAGCTGTTAGGGCCTTGGTACCGTGTAGACGCCATTTGATCCCTGTCTATACACACTGTAGTGTCCTGAGGAGCTTGGCCGAGTATCTGTGCTCGGACTGAGCCAATGATATCTCCCTGTCCTCGCATAGAGTGCCAGATGCATCATGGGATGCGACAGTATTGCAACCACCACATCTAGGATGGGGAAGGAGCCTTTTGGCTAAGGTATGTGAAAAAGTCCCCCCTAGCTTTTTTCTTGGGTGGCAAAAGAGGAGCCCTTCTTTAATTTTTCGTTATGTCTCATTCTGATGCTTCCACACTTGTGGGAGAGCCTCTCATACAAGTTATTTCTGAGCATGTCAATGGATCCAGTGAACCTAGTGAAACGCCTGCTTTGTTTACGCCCCCGGAACCGTCACCCCCCTTGGCCGGTGAGAACCTAATGGACGGAAGTGGAGAGCGCCCCTCGGAGCTGCCTGATGCGTTGCTTCGATTGCAAAATTCTGGTCACCATCTTCAAGTGGTTTCGTGTGCCGCGTGGAATGTGCGCAGCAACCATCTTTGAGTTAAAAAGGAATTATCTGTTTGCTTTTCAGTTGACACCGTAATTACAAGCCAGGATGTTATCGTAGGGTTCGCCCAGGCAGGCATTGATATCCACGATATCACGTCTATTCAACGGAGGGCAAGTAATAATTCGTGGGTGGTTACGTTCGGAGGCAAAGCCGTGAAAGACGCCGCCCTGAACAAGCAGTCCATTAAGATTGCCGGCTGTTCTGTCCTTTTGGGGGACTGTGAGAACAAAGTCTCCATCGTTAAAATCTACGAGCTGCCGGACGAGCTTCCCAACTCCGTTGTCATCGACCGTTTGAGCCATTACGATCGAGTTATTTCTTTTCGGCGCGACCGCGTGGCTGACGCCATCTTCAATGGTGTTCGCACAGCGAGGATGTCTATCGAGCGACCCATCCCAGCGCAAGCCTTTATTGCAGGCGAGTCTGAGTTCTGCCAGTTTTGGTACCCATCGCAGCCAAAAACATGCAGGAAATGTGGTGCCGAGGATCATCTTGCAGCCGCATGTAAGGCGCAACGGTGTTTTAATTGTGAGCGGCCCGGCCATCATGCGAAGCAGTGTGACCTGCCAGCGCTCTGGCGCGTGCCTCTCGGACGGCCACGAGACCACCTCCTGTCCATTGATCTTCTATAGCTCCAACTTCACTGATGCAAAGTCCACAGAAAACTTATTCTGGCGCTGCACAAAGTGGAAAGTTGGCTGCCGACGCGAGAAAAGCAGAGGAGGAAAGTAGCCGCGCTAAGCGTGAAGAAGAAGGGCGCGTACACAGGGAGAAAGAGAAAGAGTGAAAGGAGAAGGAAAGGAGCGGCGCAAGGAACGAGAAGAGAGAGATCGGGATCGGAAGGAGAAGGAACAAGAAGAAAAAGAACGTGAGGATCGCAAAGAACGTGAGAGAAGGAAGCACGACAAATACTTGAAGAGAAAATACAAGGATGATGATCGCTACAGGAGAGAAGAGAGGAACGATCATGAGCGGGACCGTGATCGCTATCGCTCTTGTCGCGATCGGTCCTCTCATCGCGACCATGAAAGCAATGACAGTGAATCAGAAAGCGAAGGATGGACCCGAGTGTCGTATCGGAGAGACAAGGGCAAGAGTAAGTCGTATTAATTATCTTAATTTAATAATTTTTTGCTTACAGTGCCCTTAGAATTCTTACTATCAATGTTCGTGGACTAGGCACTACCCATAAACACGATCTCTTTCTTCATGAGTTAAACGAAAATTTAGACTATGATTTTGTCTCTTACAAGAAACGCATATTTCCTGTAAATCTCAAGCTGATTTAATTGAGAAATGTTTTAAAGGTCAATGTTTTTTGTCCTTTGGGATCGGCAAATCTGGCGGCATAGCTATTCTTGTTTCTCCTAAATTTTCTGGTAAGATCATTCGCTATGTCCAGGACACTGATGGTAGAATTCTACGCCTTCTTGTCGATCGGAACTCTTTTAAATTTAATATTATTTGTGTTTACGCTCCAAACACCGTGTCCGATCGTAAATTATTTTTCAACTGTCTACATCCCTTTTTTCTGTCACCCGGCAATTTAATTTTAGGTAGCGATTTCAATTGTATTGATTCAGACCTTGACTGCTTGCATATTAATTCAGACTTTAGCGCGGACAGGCGTTGCTTGTCAGCCCTTAAGTCCGATTTCTGCCTTGTTGATATCTTACGTAAGCAGAATCCGAAACCGATCTCTTTCACCTGGTCTAATAAAGATTTTTCCCAGGCTTCTCGCCTCGATCGCTTCTATATTTCTTCCTCTCTTTTGCAGTCAATTCGCGGAAATAAGTGTTTTCCTTGTTCTCTTTCTGATCACGATTTTGTTGACTTATTTATTTCTCCGGTTAATGTTTCTTTGCACGGAAGCGGTGTTTGGAAATTTAATACCTCTCTTCTCTCCGATAACGATTTTATTAATACTATGAGTTTGTTGATTACTTCTGAGAAAGAAAAGATTCCTCTGTTCGACTCGCTTGAAGGTTGGTGGGATAACTTGAAAATTCAGATTCGTCGTACTTGTATAGATTTCTCTTCTCGAAAATGCAGACAACTTCTTTCTGAACGCAATTCTCTAACCAAGCGCTTACTCAGAGCTCAATCGGCTGTTTTTGCTGGCGATCGCGACCAGATTTCTAATGTAAACAAACTTCAGAGTGCCTTAGAGGCAGTCATTAATAACGAGTGCGAGGGCGCCCAGGTTCACTCGCAAGCGTGGTGGATCGAGGAGGGCGAGAAGCCCACTCGTTTCTTTTTTTGCCTGAAGCGTAAATGCGCGGAAAACAATATTTTTGAGTCTCTTTTTAATGAATCTGGCGAGGAAAAATTCTCGCGTAATGACTTTGAACTTATTTTTGTCGAATTTTACAAAGCTTTATTCTCCAAGGATTCCCTTAATATGCAAATTCAGACCCAAATTATAGATGATCTTGACCTTTCTTTGTCTGATTTAGAACGCGAACAATGCGAGGGATTATTCACAAAAGATAAGGGTTTTGCCGCTTTGAAAGGCCTTCAGACTGGTAAATCGCCTGATTTTGATGGCATTCCCGTTGAATTTTACTCGAGATTCTGGGATTTGTTGTGTGACCCTCTGCTTGCTGTTTTGAATGACTGTTTTCAGGTTGGCTTGCTTTGTGCGAGCCAGCGCAAAGCCCTCTTGCGCCTTATTTATAAGAAGGATGATAAACACTTGGCTAAGAATTGGCGGCCCATATCGGTTCTTAATTGTGATTACAAATTAGCTTCCAAAATAATTACCGACCATCTGAAACAAGTTATGCCCTCAATCGTTCACTCTGATCAAACTTGTAGTGTAATTAATAGATCGATATTTTCTAACTTACATTTGATCCACGATACCTTAGATATGATTAACAAAACGGACGAGACCAGAATTTTAATCACGTTTGATCAAATGAAGGCTTCTGATAGAGTAGATCACAATTTCCTCATGAGAGTATTAAGTAAGTTTGGTTTCGGTACGTCCTTTTGCGGTTGGGTTTCAATTTTTTATTTGAATGTGTTTTCACGGATCATTTGTAATGGTAAAATTTCTGCTCCTATTTTCTTAGAGAGGGGGGTTGGGCAGGGTTGTCCTCTCTCCCCCCTTCTCTACGTTTTAACCTCTGAAGTCTTAGCAAACCAGATCTGTAAAAACCCTGCGATTGAAGGCTTCCTGCTCCCCGGAACAGGTGGCGTTCAATTTAAAGTATCACAGTATGCTGATGACGCCACCAATTTCATAAAGAACAAGAGATCTCTCTGTCACCATCTAGAGACCATGAACAAATACGAGATGGGGTCTGGGGCCAAGCTCAATAACTCCACGTCCGAGGCAATGTGGCTTGGTAGGTGGAGAGCTAATGGCGCCTCCCCCTTTGGTTTACAATGGGTTAATAAGCTTAAGATCTTAGGGGTTTATTTTTCGAACGAACTAGTAAATGTTCATGAAGATAATCGGCGTCGCAAATTAGATAAGTTAAAGAGAACTTTAGGGATGTGGTCGCAAAGGGATCTTTCTTTTCTAGGCAGAAGCATGATTCTAAATGTTCTCGGGGCTAGTAAATTTTGGCATGTTGCCAAAGTACTGTCCCCTCAAAATGGGTTTCTGTTGAATACAAGCGAGCCGTTTGGCCCTTTATCTGGAAATCAAAATCTGAAACTGTAAGCCGAGCGCGTTGCGTGGCCCCCATCGAGCATGGGGGTCTGAATATTGTTGATTTCGAAATCAAGTGTTCAAGTTTGCATTTGTAGAGTCTCTCTGGGTATCGGGAGGGATTCAGCACATGCAAATGGCACTTTTTAGCTCGCTACTTTTTCGGAAATCGCTTTTCTAATCTTGATCCTAGTTTTGATCTTTCTTCTCGTTCAATTCCTTTGTCTTCCGAGCCGTCTGCCTTTTATCGTAATTGTTTACCTCTGTTATCTTCCTTGCGTAGTAAACACGGCTCTTTACCAGCTGATTTTTCTCGTAAAAATTTGTATAATCTTCTTCTAGATCTTCCGAGTGCCTCTCCGCGCTCCTCCGGTTTTTGGGCCGCTTCGCTTAAGAGGCCGATTAACCGGTGGGCCGCGGTTTGTTGCAAATCTCGCCTTAAGTTGATTGAAAATAAGAAAACTGATTTACTCTGGCTCATTGTTCACCGCGCAATTAAAGTTCGATACGCATTGAAAACTTGGGGATACAAACTTAAATCTGATAAGTGTGCTTTGTGTTCCCAAGTTGAAACAATTGAGCATTGTTTTCTCTTTAGCCCTCGCGTGCGCGCTGTGTGGAATTATTTCACGCCTTATCTGTCTCGTCTTTCTACTTCTCCTTTTCCTGTTAACTCTTCTTGTATTTTCTTCCCTTTCTCGTCTCGTGCTTCTTTGCCTTCTTTCTCACTCTACTGTTACTTGATCACTACAATTTCATTTTAGATTTGGCAAACTAGAAATCTCGCAACTTTTCGACATTCTGTCTTGAATGTTAATCAAATCGTTAACCTGATTAAGAAAGATATCTCCTGCCGAATTTTATGTGCAAAACAGGATGAAAAAGAAAATTTCTGGTCTACTAGTAATGTTCTTTGTAAGATTTCTGATGCTAACTCTATTTCTTTTTTCCCCTTACTGTCCATAATAAGCCTTTATTGCATATAGTCGCTTTTAATTTTAGTTCGCTTTATTTAGTTGCTCCTAGATATCTTTGAACATAGCGCTTTTAATTTTAGTTTAGCCGTTTTGCCTATGAACATTTAGCCGATCGCTTTGTATATAGCCGCTTTAGCTTATTAAACTTGCTTTGTTTTCCTGGAAGCCTTGTAAATATTTCCTGGAATCTTGTACATAGCTGCTCTGGTTAATTTGCATTAGTTCCCGGAAGTCATGTTAATATTTCTAGGAATTCTGTACATAGCCGCTCGCTCTACTTAACTTAATTTGCATTAATTCCCGGAAACCTTGTAAATAGTTAGCGTTAGTTTAGTTCCTTTTTTGCTTTTGTTTCCTTTTTGTAAATACAGTGGAGTTGGTCTTTCAATAAAACAGCCCTGCGGGGATTTTTATATTCTTAAAAAAAAAAATCTGTTCTTATCGGTCACATTTTCGGTTTCTCCGCCGAAAACGTCAACAGTCCCCGTTCTCGCACTTCGATCGCCTTCCTTTCAGTCTCTTTCAGTTTGTTCTGAGGTTTGTCACGTTTTCGGTGTCTCCGCCGAAAACGTGAATATTCCCTCCGTTAGTGCTTGGATTGCTTTCATATTGGTCTTGTTCTTTCCCTTTTAGCCTGGAGTTTCATTCTGTGAGGTTTGTAGTGTTGTTTTGCGTGCCATTTCTTCGCCATACCAACACGTGCGACCCCGCGCAACCTTCATGCACAAAAAAAATGTCCGTCTTATCATGGAGGAGGAGATGGAGTTAACCGCGATCGAAATTGGTCGGTCTTTACCTGAGTTCCAGGAGGAAGTCGCTGGCATTGTCCCCAATATTGGGGGCAAATGTTTCGATATAACCTTACGCACAACCGACGCTGCCACATGCTTGGCCATGTCTGGCTTTGATTATGGAGCCGAAAGGAAACCCCTAAAATTACTTGGGGCGAAAACTATCCACGTCTCAGTGTTTGTCGCTGTGGAATTTTGCGATCAAGAGATTGTCAAATTTTTAAAACAGTATGGACATCTCCGGCGCCTCTGCTATACAGAAGACGGGTTCACTTCTATTGAGCGCGGTATCCTTGTCGCAGAATTTATATCACTTGAGAAAGATCTGCCTCGGAAGGTTGTGACCCAAGGTTTGGAAATATTTTTTAAATACACCGGTCAGCCGATCACTTGGTACCGCCGCGGATCGACCGACCACGTGGTTAAAAACTGACCGAAACAACGCTCGCATTTCGGGCACGGGCACCTTTGCGTGGAAGATCGCGTTTTGCCTGGCCCGCCGAACCCCCTGGAAACCAACGAGGCTCAAATGGAAAGTGAAACCATTACTCCCAGCACTCAGGACTCTGAGGATGAAGACCGTACACCAAGCGAGACTCTTTCTTCAATGCCCACGCCGTACTCTGGAGTTGTATCTTGCGATCTCTTCTCAGAGCCAAGCGAGACCTCGCATAAAAGGCCACCACCCTTCCCCGAAAAGTCGGGAAACCCGATCAGATGAAGGCTTTTGATAGAGTAGATCACGATTTCCTTATGAGAGTATTAAGTAAATTTGGGTTCGGTCAGTCCTTTTGTCATTGGGTTTCAATTTTTTATTCGAATGTCTTTTCACGGATCATTTGTAACGGTAACTTTTGACTCCTGTTTTCTTAGAGGGGGGTTAGACAGGGATGCCCTATCTCTCTCCTTCTCTACGTTTTAACATCTGAAGTCTTAGCGAACCAAATCCGTAAAAGCCCTGCGATTGAAGGCTTCCTGCCTCCGGGACCGGTGGCCTTCAATTTAAAATATTGCAGTATGCCAATGATGCCACTAATTTCGTAAAGAACGAGAGATCTCTCTGGCACCTTCTAGAGACTGTGAACAAGTATGAGAGGGGGTCTGGGGGGGTCTTGTCTCCTTAGAGGAGTTAACTACTTCGGTTAAGAGTTTATCGCTAAATAAATCTTCTGGTGCTGACGATTTTACTCCAGAATTTTATCTCTGTTTTTGGCTTATTTTAGGGCCTTTGTTGTGTCACCTGCCTGTATAAACAATGTCTTCTTGATGAGTCCTTACCTGAATCTCTCTGCACCAGTGTTACTCATTTGCTCTTTACAAAACGTGGTGATATGAAATATTTCAAAAATTGGCGGCCGATTTCTTTACTAAATGTTGATTACAAAATTCTGTCAAAAGTGATTACGCTGCATCTTTCCCATGTTATGGCAAGTATTATGCAACCGGACCAGACTTGTTCTGTTCCTGGGCGTTCAATTGCTTCTAATGTTACTATGTTGCGCGATGTTCTTGATTATATTAATGGAACGAATGAATCTGGTATCCTTGTTAGTTTTGATCAGGAAAAAGCTTTTGATCATGTCAATGATTCTTTTTTGTTTAAATTACTTTGTTACCTTGGCTTCAGTTCATGTTTTATCAAGTGGGTTTCCACGCTCTATAGGGGTGCTAATATGAAAATAATTCTTAACGGGTATCTTACTGAACAAATTGAAATTAACCACGTTGTTCACCAGGGCGATCCGTTGTCTCCTTTGCTTTATTTTTTGTGCGTTGAGGTACTTGCCTCTTTAATTAGATCTTCTTGGTTCCTTTGCGGTTTTTTATTACCTGGTGCTAAGGGTGTACATTTCCGGGTTCATCAATATGCAGATGACACGACTTTTGGGAAGAATATTCCATCTTTAATTCAGTTATTTAATGTTATTTCTCTTTATCAAAAAAGGATCAGGAGCTAAGTTAAATCGCTCTAAAACTGAGGCCATGTGGCTTGGTGCGTGGAGGTCACGCCAGGACCAGCCACTTGGTCTCACTTGGGTTCAAAAAATGAAGATCTTAGGTGTTTGGTTCGGGATACTGATAAGATAAGATAACTGGCTTCCCCGGATCAATAAACTAGAGAAATCAATTAATTTTTGGAAATCGCATTCTTTATCTTTTGTTAGTAAAAGTTTAGTTATTAACGTTATCGGGCTCAGTAAATTTTCTTATCTAGCACGTGTTCTCACACTTCCTGAATGGGTTACCCGTAGAGTTAATCAAATTATTTGGCCGTTCTTGTGGGGCTCTAAGATTGAAACTGTCTTTCGAGGTTCCTTGTCCTGCCGTATCTCGGACGGCGGTCTTGGTATCGTCAACCTGCCTCTTAAATGTGATTCTCTGCGTGTTTCTGCCTTACTTACTATGATCCGCGATCCTGAAGATAAGTGTTTTTTTCTTTGTTAATATTTTGTTGGCTGGCACCTAGCCAGGTTTGATGCGCAATGGTTATCTCTACGCGATAATTCTGCTCCTACTTCTCCTGAGCTTACTCCGTTTCATTCGTCTTGTTTATCTGTAATGTCTCGTTTTGATGTTGTTAATACGCCGCCTTCCTCTAAGGCTATTTACTGCGCGCTTAATAAAGGTTCTTCCCCGCCTTCCCTGCACCGCGCTTGGGTCCCTTACCTTGCTCCCAGTTTCTTGATCCGCGATCACTGAACTAAGGTTAGGGTTTCCTTTTGTGATAACCGTCTTAATGATTTATTTTGGTTGATTGCCCTTAAAGGTGTTAAAGTGCGCGACTCTTTGTTCAATTGCGGCTACATTTCTTCGTATAAATGCGCGATGTGCGATAGAAGGGAAACGATTGATAATTGTTTCTTGAATTGCTTTCGAGTTAAAGGAGTGTGGGCTCACTTCCGACCCGTGTTATCTGCTTTGCTCGGCTTTGATTTTCTTATCAATGTTTGTACAGTTTTCTTTTTTTGTTTCTCTTGCGATGCTAGGAAATTTCGTATAGCCTCCTTTGTAATTAAGAGTGTAGAGTATTCTGTTTGGACCTTTCGTAATAAGAGTACCTTTTACAATGGTCGCGAGGAAGCGTCTGCTCTTATTAAGTATGCACTTCACTCTATTAAGGGGAGGGTCAAGCTAGATTTTCATCGTTTCTCACGTGAGCAGTTTCTTCGTGTTTGGGGTGAGCCCCGTTTTTGTTTTATGCGAAATGACACTTTTCTTTTCCTTTTGATTCCTGTACCTTTCTAAATTTACTTTTAGAACAGAGTTTCTTTCGTGTTAAGTGAATTGTCAAGACTTGATCTTCGTAGAGCTACCATATGTAATTGTTAACTGTAAGCTTTCATGTTGCTCAGTTATCTGTGATTGTAAATAGTCTTTAGTGCTGTTGATTTTATGAATAAAATTTTTAAAACAGAAAATCTCATTGTTTTTGGCCATGGCTGTCTCGCTGACATCCATTAACGTTAACGGCGCTGCCTAACGCCATAAGCGCCTTAGGGTTTTTGAATGTCTGCAGAGCATGTCTTCCGACTTATCTTTATTAGAAGAAACACATCTCGCGGATTCCTCACAAGGTAAGACATGGGAGAAGGAATGGGGGAAATGTTGTCCGGCAGCTTTCCCCTTCATTATTTTTCTTCTTTGCTGTCTGACTCCTATGGCTCGCACCAGAACTGTAGTTGTTGACTTGCGTGATTTCCCACCAAATTTTGAACGGAAAGATATTGCTAAGACATTCTACGCCAGTATGGGGAGGATCATCTCATTGACGCAATCCAAATTGTTCCTGGTGGGGTTTGTAAGGTCACCTTCAAATCTCGTGAGTCCAAAATTTCTTTATTGAGTCAGGAATCTCTCACTTTTGGTGGAGTTGACTGTCGAGTTCTAAATTATGCTAAGCGTATTCCTAAAGTCCAGATTCATTACTATCCAGTTGAGGCTGATTTAGATCCACTAGGAAATAACAACTAACATTGGGCTGATATGCCTGAAATTAGTACTGGCACCCGCCTTTCTGGTGATTTTATGGGAAAATGAATGGGGTTACAAAGCTTTTTTTAGCTGTGAAAATAGTCGAAGGGCGGTTGTGGCCATTCTGTTTAAAACTAATTTCGATTTCGTTTTAAACCAGGATTACGCAGACCCAGATGGTCGTTTTATCATTTTAGACATTAAGACGGCAGACTTATGTCTTACGCTTGTTAATCTTTACGCTCCAACCTCCATTATTTTTAAAATGTTAATAACCACATACTCGAATTTGATTGCGATAACATCATCTTGGGTGGAGATTTCAACTTGATTAAAAATGCTAAATTGGACAAGGAAGGTGGCATCCTAGGCACATCGCACCCAAAAGCGCTCACTGAAGTAGAAAAAATCCAAATTAACCTTGACCTAAGCGATATCTGGCGTGACCAAAATCCCCTCGACAAGAGATTTACATGGAGAAGGCGTAAACCATCTATATCCTGCCAACTTCACTGTTTTCTTTTAAGTCGTCATCTCTATGGTAAAGTGGCTAAGTCTGATATCGTAGCTGGGTACAAAACCGACCACTCTATGATAAGCCTCAGTTTGGGTCTTACCAAAAACATCAGAGGCACTGGTCTATGGAAACTTAACACCTCTTTCCTGATAGACGAAGAATACTTAAAATGCATCAAGAAAGTCACCCTTAAATCATGTGATGACTACAAAGACGACAAGGATGTGGATGATGCCTTGCTGTGGGAGATGATTAAACTTAAGGTTAGAGAGTCATCAATTTTTTACGGAAAAGAAAAAGCTACGTCTAGGGGAACAGACGAAACCAAACAATACGATACGATCACCTACCTAGAGAGAAAAATAGATGGCAGGATATACTCTGAGTGTTTCTTACGCCACTGTGGCTGCTCCTGAAACTCCACGTGTTAGCGAGAACGAACTTTTGGCTCCATGTGATTACCATAATGAATATTTTCTTTCTAGTGTTGAACAAGAGCATTTCTATCCAGATAGTGTTAAGCCGGACCGTCTTTGTACCGCTTACTTTCAGTCTGCTACTTTAAATGATTCTTCCGATGTTTTTGGCGCTTTAAAAGCTCAAGGCTTTCCCGAATCTTTGGTTTGTTGTTTACGGTGAAGACCAACTGGCGAGATGCCAATTACCTTTTCAAGCACACAGGTAAAGAATTCTTTTGTCAGGACCAATAGCATTGAAACTCACCGACGCCGATATGTTATCAACGACTCTGACTGTTTGACTGCATTGACTGCATGAAATGTCGGATAATGCTCTCATCAAATGGCTTGCACCCTACTGTGAGGTTGTCAGCTACCGTTGAGGCCGTCTTCAAACCAACAAGTTGGTTTTCAACGGGAACGGCCACTTTCGTGTTCATGTCCACGCTGCAATTCCTTCTTACCTTTGGTTTGGAAAGTTTTTAATACGTCCCTCTCACAATGGACAGCAACAGACTTGTAGGAAGTGTAATCGCTTTGGCCACTTTGCCAATGAGTGTCCCAACACGATCTGCTTTGACATGTGGCCGAAACATGCCCCAATGCCGAACTTTGTTGTATTTGTAAAGAACCCTCGCATCGTGCGTGGTTTTGTCATTTTTCCTGGTACTGCGACGTCTCTCCGGCGTCTTCTCCTGCTCCGCAATGTCATGATACGCGCCAGGATACACATCAGGATACGAGCCGGGACATGCCTGTGGTTGCTAACCCCCCTGATCCTCTGCCTTCCTCTGTTGCACCCTCTGATAGACAGTCCCCCTTGCCAGCGAGAACTCCGAGGACATTCTTAACTCCCAAGGTCTTCTCACTCTCTGTGATCTGTTTGGTGATGATGATGACTGCGCCAGTGTTTTTTCAAATAGTGAAGTTGGCACTTCTGATGATGATTGCACGGATCATAATGCTGATGATAACGATGATGAGGATGATGATGGTGATGGTGATGATAATAACAACGATGAAGATAATGATGATGATAACGATGGTGATGATATGGTCACTCCCGAAGCCGGTATACAGGAGTCTGCCTCTGCTGGCCCTGACCCAGCTTCTCTCGGTAGGCCCGAGTCTGCCTCTGCCGACCTTGTTACTACCCCCCCCGGCGATCGTGAGTTTGCTTCAGCTCAACCTGCTGATGACAGTCCTGCTGATATCACTCCGATGGAATCTCAGCCTCTTTTTTCCTCCACTGAGTCAGAACCATTGGCCTTCTCAGTTCTCCCGGACCCTAAACCTCAGCCTTTCAAGTCCAGATTTGGTCTGATACGCTGTAGCATCTGTTGTGTCAAAATCCCACGCCGATGCCTGAGGCCCTAGCTGCAATTCACAGGAAGGCTACAACTCCACCCCCAGTCCAATGGGGAGTGCGTCTAGGGATAGATCTCCGATCTCCGGAGACCCCCCGGACGCTCCCCCTTCTTCTGATGTTGGTATGCCTAATCCCAGTTCAGCCACTTGAATCTTTAAATTTCAAGTGGCCACTTTAAATTGTCGGGGTTTCGGCCGCAAGGCCGATCTGATTTTTGATCGCAAGCGTACCACTTACAATATTGTATTCTTTCAGGAGACTTCGATTTGTGATGAGAGCCATATAAAGTCCTTAGCGTGCCGCTGGTCTGGGCCTAGTTATCGGTCTCTGGCCATAGGCAAGCAAGGCAGCGTTTGTGCTCTTATTCATGGGTTGAAGAGGATGAGACCTCTTCGGATTATTTTTTTTCCTTTGGAAAAGAAGAGAGGTGCTGACAGGTGGATCTCTGCACTGATAGGTGAGGACGGCTCTATTGTGTCCTTCTCTGATGACCTGTTTCATTCTCTTTTGTCTTTCTATTCTTCACTCTTTAAGTCTTCTCCCACTGATCCTGTTGCTCAGCAAGAGTTGCTGAGTAATATCTCTTCTACTCTGCCCCCAGATCAGGCCTTGGAATGAGAAGGTTCTCTTATGTTGGATGAATGCTATAAGGCTCTCACTGGTATGGCCCATCGTAAGGCTCCTGGTTTTGATGACTTTCCGATGGAATTTTATGTGAAGTTTTGGAGTGTTTTGGGTTCTGACCTGGTAGATGTTCTTAACTCTTGGTATAATTCTTTGTCTCTCTCTCAGTGCAGAGGTATTATTATTTGACCTTTAAGAAGGGGGAGCGTTTGGATGCTCGCAATTGGCGTCTGATTTCCCTTCTGAATGTCGACTTTAAGATTGCTACTTGTGCTTTTGCCGGCTGGCTGTTAAAGGTCATACACTTGGTTGTTGCGAAAGATCAAACGTGTGGGGTGCCTGACCGCTATATATGGGAGAATGTTGCTTTTCTTTGGGACGTCTCATATGCTACGACTTTTGATTCTCCGGTTGCTATTCTCTCTCTCGACCAGGAGAAGGCTTTTGATAGGGTGGATTGGGGTTTTATGCTGTCTACTCTTCGCACCATGGGTTTTGGGGCTTCTTTTGTCAGCTGGGTTCATTTGCTTTACACGAATGTTCAGAGTGCTGTCAATGTTAATGGTTACCTATCCTCTTTTTTTTCTTTGTCTCGTGGTGTCCATCAAGGCTGTTATTTGAGCCGTTTTCAGAACTTACGATCGGTACAAAAGAGGCTCAGGTTCAAAGCTCAACATGTCTAAGTCAAAGGCTCTCTGGCTGGGCCTGTGGTCTGGGCTTCTTGACCCTCCAGTAGATCTTGATTGGACTTCAGTTAAGATCAAGGTCATTGGCGTTTACATTGTCCTGGGGATCTTGCTAGTGATAATTGGTGGCCTAGGATTTCAGCAGTTTAGAACGTTCTGTCTTCTTGGAAGCAGCGCATTCTCTATTTCAGGGACAGGGCTCTTGTAATCAAGGCACTAGCTTTATCCCGGGTGTGGTATGTGGCCTCTCTTTAACACATGCCCCCTTGGGTACTGGGCGAACTTTGTAGGGTGGTTTTTGACTTCTTCTGGAAGGGCTTAAGGGACCTCGTTGCTCGTTCTGTTGTCGTTCAAGATTCTTCTGTTGGTGGTTTTTCTGTTGTGGATGTCAAACTTAAAGTACAGTCTATGCTAGTGTTGTGGGCAAAGTGCTATGTGACTTCTTCCAGCTGGTCTGTCTTCCTGTCATTCTGTGTTTAACTCTTCCCCTGTGGATGTGTTCTCTTGCCCTTTTGCCTTTAGTCCTCGAGCCTTGCCCTCCTTCTGTCAGTCTCTGCATTTGGCTTGGCATGCTGTGGATGGCTCTTTCTCTTCATCCCGCTCCACCTTGGTGATGTCCTTGTCAGACCCTCACCAGCTTGCCCTAGCCTCCAACATCACTGCCAAGTCTAACTATCTGTACCTGTTGTCGGTGATTTTTGCTGCGCCCCAGTGTGAGCAAAAGTTTCTCCCAGTTTTTGGCACCCTGTACTGGTCTGCCACTTGGCGCCAGCTTCACTTTTTTGATCTTGATTGGCCAGTTGTCGATCTCTTCTGGCAGGTTGCTCGTGGGGTTCTCTACATTGTTGACCGCTTGATCTCGTTTGGGTATTCTCATGACCATCATTGCTTTTGTGGCCCTGTTAATGAGACTCCCTCTCATCTGTTTTTTGGATGTGCTCTCGCTTCTAGCTTACTGTCCTGGTTGCAGTCCCTTATGTTTCGTTTTTCTCCTTGGTGTCCTACTCTTTCTTGTCGACATGTTTGGTTTCTCTCCCTCTGAGCTTCGTGCTGTTCCTCGTGTTTTCATCGATCTCCTCTGTTTGCTGAAGTACTTTGCTTGGCGTGCCTGGAACGACTTTCGCTTTTGTGATGTTCGTCCTGGTGCTCTGCCCATTATTGAGAATACTAAAGCGAGAGCTGAGTTTCATTTGGTCCTTTTTATCAAGCGTTTCAAATCTTCTCGGCGTTGACGCTACTGTCACGGCCAGTGGGGTGTGTGCGGTGTGGTTGGTTCTGCTGAGGATGGCGTTTTTAAATTTTGCCTCTAAGCACTTTTCCTTGTCTTGTTAATTGGTCTCCTTCTGCTTGAGTGTGTGTCTTTGGTTTCTCGGTCTTCTTAATTGGTTACACTGGGTTTCCTTCTTGCTTGAGTGACTGTTTTGTTTGTTTTGTTTTTGCTGAGTGAGTTAAGTTGTATTTTAGTCTTTAGTTCCCCTCTTTGGGGTTTTTTACCGAGTGAGTGTGTTCTTAGTTTTATTTCCAGTCTTTAGGCGGTTGCCAGTGTCTTTTAACTTGTTCCTTTGTCCTGTATTTGTTAGTCTTGTAGATGTTTTGTCCTCTACTGTGTATGTAGGGGCGGGGGTTCAATTCCCCCAGTCTGTTTGTGTGCTGGTGCACTGCCCCGTTTATTGCGTTGGTTCTAGACCTTAAGTCTGGTGGCATTGCTTTCACCCTACTGGGGGCCGGCCATTTGCCTCAAACATGAATGAATGAATTTTGCCGTTTTTTATCGCGTTAGTCAGTAAAGTTGCTTGTGTTTTTTCATCCTGGTTTCATCCCTTTGCTTCAAATATCGTCATGTCATTTTGTGGAGTCACAGCTAGTCATTTAGTTGCTGCAATTCAATACCATTCAGTAAAGTTCTCAACGCTCCCGCTTGCAAAAGCTGAGGAGATTACTCAAGCTCTTCTTCTGCGAGTTCTTCTCGAGGAAATTGACGCAGTACAACAAGGCCCCAGCAAAGGTAACTGGACGGTTATTTTTAAGACCATTTCAACTGCCAAGCGCGTTGCTGAGAATGGTTTTACTCTATTGAATGAACAGATCTTGCCTGTTCTTTACAACAAATGCTTGATCACCACAACAGTGGCAGTTGCACCTCTGGGCACGTTGCCCACAGATATCCAAACTGTGCTACAGGAATACGCCCAATTCAACCAGGTTCATCCCATCTTCCTCTGTGACTTTCCTTCAATAAAATCTGGCAAGTTTTGGGTAGTTCCACAACTGAACGAGGAAGGTACTCCCGAAGAGGTTCTCGCGTCTTTCATTACACTACATGGCCGTAATTCTTCTTTGTTTTTCTCCAGTCGCATTTCACGTTGTCCTTATTGCAACTCTGCCGATCACCTGGGACGCGATTGCCTTCATCAAGGTCAACCACACTGTTTTTCCTGTAATATGCGGGGTCATGTACGAGCAACTTTTCTGGATTTAGCTGCTCAATCAACGGCCACAACCGTAGCTCTCACTGTTGTTGAAAATCAAGAGTCCTCACAAACATCCTTGACACCTCTACCATGAACTGCAGAACCCAAACTGCAGAACCCACTGCAGTGGCTTCTCAGAATTTATTCGAGGAAAATTTGCCTACAACCGGGAGTACTATCGGCACCCCCCTCTTATAAGGACTACTACCCCAGTTACAGCCGCTCTGATCACAGGTGTGAGGAAGACAATGATTGGAAAGTGGTTGAAGGAATAAGAGCCAGAGTTGTTAATCTAGTCAGCCTTTATGCACCATTTCTGATCATAGAATTTTCTTGGAAAATTTCCATACCTTCTTTTTGTCTCAAGGTTCTTTGGTTCTAGGTTGGGATTTTAATTGCGTTGACTCTGTTATTGACAGACTGAATATTAAATCGGACTTTGGTGCGGACAGGTGAGTCTTGTCCGCCCTGAAGGCCGATTTCTGTATCGCTGGTGTTTGGCGCAAAAGGAATCCCTCTGCAATCTCTTATACTTGGGCGAACAGTGATTTTTCTGAAGCTTCCAGATTAGATCGATTTCTTATCTCTATATCTTTACTCTCATTAGTGCGCTGTAATAAATGTTTTCCTTGCACGCTCTCCGATCATGCTTTATTATTGTCCCCGTGCAACGGTAACCCCACGGGAGCGGGGTTTGGAAATGTAATTGTGGCCTTTTGGCTGACAGTGATTTTGTTGGTAAAATGCATATGATCTTATTCTTTCTCATAATCTTCTTATCACTAGTTTTACTTGTCTGGGTACTTCATGGGAAGATTTAAAAGCTTCACTCCAGCGTACTTGTGTAGACTATTCTGTTCAAAAACGTAAGCGTTTAAATCGGGAATGTGATTTGTTCACTGAGCAGTGAATCCGGGCCAAACAGTTTTTTCTAGTGACAACTGATACGTGGATAGAGTCAATGACCTTGAAAAAATTCACTTCTCTGATTAAGAAGAGTGGTGAGGGGGCTTATATACGATTGCGTGCTAAATGGATAGGGGGTGAAAAGCCCACTTTTTTTTCTTCAGTCTTGGGCAGAAACGGGTGGAGAATACCTTTTCTTCTCTTTTAGATGTTGATGGTACAGAAAAGTATTCCCAGGCAGATATTGAGCTCATTTTACTTAATTTTTACAGATCTTTGTTTTCCAAGGACATTCTAGATATGCAACTTTTGGAGGAATTAATTTATGACCTTGACACTTGTCTAACTGATTATGAGCATGACTTGTGTGAAGGGTTCTTTATGAAGGAAGAGTTATTGACCGCTTTATTGGGCCTTCAGACAGGTAAGTCGGGTGGGTCTGATGGCCTTCCACCTGGATTTTATTCTGCTTTCTGGGATGACCTTAGTGATTCTTTACTTTCTGTTTTAAATGAATGCTATAACATCGGTTCGCTTAATTTGAGTCAATGTCAGGCTCTCTTACATTTATTTTACAAGAAGGTTGATCGACCCTTGCCAAAAAATTGGCGTCCTATTTCCCTTATGAATACAGATTACAAATTGGCTTCTAAGATTATTACCAAAAGTTTGAAAAAGGTTATGGCCTCCATTGTGCACTTGGATCAAACATGTGGGGTCGTTGGCAGTTCTATTTTTGCTAATTAACATTTAGTCTGTGACCTCTTGGATATGATTGATAAAACGGATGAGTCCGGTATCCTAGTCACTCTTGATGAAGAGAAAGCATTTGAAAGAGTCAATCATACTTTTCTCATGAAGGTTTTGATTAAGTTTGCCTTTGGCCCTTCTTTTCGTCGCTGTGTTTTTGTGTTTTATTCGAAAGTTTTCCCCGTATAATTTGTAATGGCAGGCTTATTGATGCTATTTATTTGGAGTGAGGGGTGAGACAGGGGTGTCCTCCCTCCCCCTCTTATATGTTCTAGTTTCTGAGGTTTTGTCTACTCAGGTTCGTAAGTGTAAGGACACCGAGTGTTTTCTTCTGCCAGGAGCCGGGGATCTTCAATTTAAGATCTCTCAGTATGCCGACCACACTACCAATTTTGTTAAATCAGACAGGTGTCTCTGTCATTTACTGTCTGTAGTGAATAGATACGAGAGGGGATGCGGCGCCAAGCTCAACACAGCAAAGTCTGAAGCTATGTGGCTTGGCCGGTAGCAGGTAAGAGGTGCCTCTCCCTTAAAAGGGCTCGGGTCTTTGTTTTAGCAATGGGTTAGTGATGTTGATAATTGGAAGTCTAAGCTCTATAAATTAAAGCAATCATTAGGTTTGTGGTCACAGAGCGATCTTTCTTTTATAGGGCACAGTATGATTTTATGCAAAATTTTGGAACCTTCTTGCCCTTATTTACTAAGAGTTTTTAACTTCAGTCTCAGAAAAGGTTTTTTGTGATTCTATGCAATATGTCACTCGAATTCTATTTAAAAAAGAGGATGAAACTCATAAAAAATTGGCGACCTATTTCCTTGCTCAATGTTGATTATAAAATCTGTTCGTAATCGATCGCTTATCGACTGGCCAAAGTATTGTCATCAATGATTAATGAAGACCAAACTTGTTCTGTGCCTGGTAGGACTATTTTGAGAACTTAGCCTTGTTTCTGGATGTTTTAGGCCATGTAAACATTACCGATGAGACCAGTATCCTTGTAAGTCTCGATCAAGAGAAAGCTTCGATCATGTTGATCATACCTTTCTATGTCGCACCCTAGAATGCTTCGGCTTTGGTCCCAGTTTTTTTACGCTGGATTTCCACGCTATATCATGGCGTGTCCATGAACATTACAGTCAATGGCTTTTTAACAGAGAAAATTTTTCTGTAAAGAGGAGTGAGACAGGGTGACTCACTGTCCCCCCTTCTCTATGTTATATGTGCTGAGGTACTAGCACAGAATATTTGTAACCATACTGGTATATAAGGCTTTCTCCTCCTTCCTGGTGCTAATAGCTATTTCAAGATAACACAACATGCAGACGATTCTACTTGCTTTGTTAAAGACACCTGCTCATTACAAAATTTATTTTACCTGTTACGGAAATTCAAGAGAAGTACTGGTGCGAAACTTAATTAGAGTAAGACTGAAGCCATGTGGCTGGGTGCTTGGTGCTCTTGACCTGATATGCCTCTGGGGCTATCATGGGTTACAAAAATGAAAATTTGTGGTGTGGTGTCTGGTTTTCCAATGGGTTAGTCAATGTCGATCCAGACAATTGGTTCCCTAGGATTTTTAAGTTAGAATCTCATATTAACCTGTGGAAGTGTCGTTCCTTATCCTTTGTCGGGAAAGTCCTTGTCATTAATATCCTCAGACCAAGTAAATTTTGGTTCCTTGCTAAGGTTTTACCCACCCCGGAGTGGGTTGTTTCACGATTTAAGAAACTTGTTTTTCCTTTTCTGTGGGGGTCTAAGATAGAGACTGTTAGTAGAAAGTCTCTATCTGTTCCGGTCCACAAAAGGTGGCCTAGGCCTCATTGATTTTACGTGTAAGAGCAAAGCCCTTAAGGTTTCAGCTCTTGTGAATACCATTGATAACCCAGACACTAAAGATTTTCTGTTAATGAAATATTTTATTGGTTCTCAACTAGCCAGAGTCAGGGGGGAGTGGTCACATTTACATGACAACTAACCCTAGTGCCTTAGCCCCTTCTAAGCATTACAAATGCGTATTTAACTCCTTGACAACCGTGACTAAGAGAATACCGGCTACATCTAGTTTTTGTTTTTCTTCCAAGAATTGTTATAGTGAATTGCTGAAAGATGCCACACCTCAGTCCCTGTCCTTCTATACAGGTGGTCCACTATCCTGAGTTACCCCCTATGTCTTCCTATTCATTGGTCCCTTATCCATGATTCCTTGACTGAAAACTATAAGAATGATTTAGCTTGGCTTATTACATTGAGAGCCGTAAAAGTGCAAGACTCCCTTAAATCTTGGGGATACTTGGACTCAGACCTCTGTGCCTCTTGTAGTCGAAAAGAAACCATTGATCATTGCTTTCTGAACTGTCTTAGAGCTAAGAGGGTGTGGGCCACCTTAACCTCCATCCTTTCTAGTCTCCTCCCTCAGCCTTTTGTAGTGAATTATCAATCTGTTTTTTTTTACTCACGGTTTAATGCATGTGATAAGAACAATGCAAAAGCATGCTACTTAGTTAAGACAGTCCTTTATGCCCTCTGGCATTTTCGTAATAAAGCCACCTTCAGAACGGCACCGAGGATCATCGGGCTATTATTAGATATATCTGTCATGACATTCCAACCCAATTACTTGTAGATTTTTCTCGACTTCCTGAGAGGAAATTCTGCTCGCTGTGGTGTCATGACTCCATTTGTGAGGTTACTAGGCAAAAGTTAATGATCAAGTTTTCTATTTAATGAACTCAACAGAACCCAAATACTCTCACATTTTTCTCTGCAAACCGAAGAGACCATTTTTCAAGTATTGTAAACTGGAATGACATTATTGTAGACCGGGAGTGTATCCTTGTTGTAAACTGGAAGTGACTTTTGTTAAACTGATAACTGGATGTGAGTAATGTAAACACGACACCGCTCTTATTTACATGTAAAATAAGATGAGAGACGGTATTGAAATAGAAATTTTAAAAAAAATCTGTTCTCATCGGTCACGTATTCGGTTTTTCCGCCGAAAACGTGATTATTCCCTTCCCATATGCCTGGATTGCTTCACTTGTGGTTGGTTTTTGTCCGTGGATTTCTACTTTGAGAGTTATTTTTCGTTTGCTATGTTTTTTCACCATTTTTTGTGTTCTTGCGACACACGTGTTTTGTAAGATGGCCGCGAGTCCTCCTCGCCGCGTCTTTGCCCACAAAAGAACTGTGCGCCTTATAATTGAGAATGACAGGCGAATTGATTCTCTCCAAGTTATCGCCTCACTACCAAATTTTCAAGCCGATATCACTTGCGTTGTGCCCCGCTTCGGAGGGAAATGTATCGATATTACTTTGCGCGACCGCAAGGTGACAACAAGACTGGCCGCGAGCGGCTTTGATTTTGGAGACCTCCAAAAACTCCTGCGCCTTCTCGGCAAAAGAGCGATCCACGTCCCTTCGTTTGTTCGGGCTGAATTCCCAGAAAACGTGGTCATCGACCTTTTAAAGCAATACCGTGAGCTAAAAACTGAAAACGTTCACCGCCTTTACTTTTAGGAGGAAGGGTTTTCTCATATTGAGCGTGGGATCTGCGTGGCTGAATTCGTCAAAATTAACAGGGATTTACCCCGCAGAATAGTGACTCAAGGAGTCGAAATTAATTTTAAATACACTGGACAACCGCTTACGTGTTACCGGTGCAATTCCACCGAGCACGTTGTTCAAAATTGTGATAAACAGAGAACCGCAAGACCTACAGTTGCTCAACGCCTTGAAGCTTCCTGGGAGGGGAAGCCATCCCTAGACCCCCTATACCAACCACGGCAACAGAAGAAAACACTACCGACGAAATGGACCACGACACTGAGGAAACAAATATGGAACCTTCAGTGACAGCATCTGAGCTACGTGCAAGTCTCAGACCCGAGCCAAGATCTTTCACCTTCCCTTGCTTCGCGTGACCTCTTCAACACCTGCTTAATCAAGAAAACAGCTCCCTCGTCACTGGCGAAATCAGACAATCCTAAACCCAAACAACAACATGCTTCTTCTGCAATCCCTAACTGTGACCCTGCCTTCAAATTTCGTTTTACAGCTGCCAAATAAGCTGGTCCAGAACGGAAGAAATTGATGACCAGCATTCCTGGCCCGCAATATTACTGATGACGTTTTTTATACCTTCAAGACTGCTTTGGAAATCTGGAAGATTTGGATTTACACAGCCCCGCTCACTGCAACCTTAACGACAAAGAATTCGACACGTGGGTCAAACTACACAAAATGATATCTCAGGACGCCCTGGCTGAACTTATTAAGAAAGCCATCCTGGTGATGACCCCCCTCCTTCTGGGGATCCTGCCTCCCCGGGTACATCACCGGAGGACTCTATGACTGGTGTTTGTTCCACCACTAATGCCCATCTATCTTCTGACGAGGTGCACGTTCTTGGCTCCCAGGGTATGGTGCTTCCTAAAACCCCTACCCCGGATGAAGTTCTAGCAGACTTGTTCTTGTCTATTGATGAGGGCCAGGATGCTGATTGTTTTACTGCCGATGACAGCGACTCGGAGTGCTCGGGTGAGGATACTGAGACAGAGTCTACAACCGCAGAACCTTCTATTACTGAAGATGCGGCCTTGGCTGCAGCTTTCAAGACACGCAAGAATGTGAAGAAGGGGGTCGGTGATCATCTTCCTCACAGAGGTAAAATGTTGGACTCTGGCCCCCCGGTCAGGAAGGCTACCCGGCCTTCTATGGTTACTTCTAAAAAGTGATAGTATTAACACCTCCGTTAATTTATTATTAACCTATTTTCAAGTTAGTGACCATCAATTCGCCTGGTTTTAATGCCCACAAACGCGACTTGATTTTTGATTTTGCCCGTACTGGCTCTGTTGATTTCCTTGCTGTTGCGGAAACTTTTATATCTGATGAGAACTCTTTTAAGGCTTTAACCTCTAATTGGTCTGGCCCTGTTTTCTGTTCCCCTGTGAGTGGGAAAGGTGCGGGTGTTTCCTTGTTTATTTCCAAGCGATTTGATGGTCAAGTTGTTTCTTGGAAAAGGGACACGGATGGCGGAGTTATGTCTTTTAATTAATCATAGTGATGTTAATTTGAATATTGTATGGGTTTATGCACCTACTCAGCCAGCAAAGACAAATTGTTTTCTGCGGTGTCTACATAGATTTTTTTTCACTCGTGCCTGTCTCATTGTTTGTGGTGATTTTAATTGTTACGAGAACGTGTGTGATAAGTTTGGTGGTAACCCCGTTGTCACCTCTGAATTTGCAAATCTTAAATCGAATCTTAGTTGAATTGATGCGTGGTGGTTTAAAAATCCGTGTGTGTCTTAGTTTACTTGGTTCAATTCCGATCTTTCTATTGTTAGCCGTTTAGACACTTTCTTGACCTCTACACCTCTTCATGAACATATTCAAAGCTGTGAAATTAGTCCCTGCACATTTTCTGATCATGAATTTGTTTCTCTTGTTGTTGACCTCTCGTCTTTTGTACAGCACGGCCCTGGAATTTGGAAATTTAATAATTCTTTGCTTTCTAATGAAATCTTTTGTCAGAAAATCCGTTCGGCTATCGATACTTTTTCTGTTTGAGCATACTTGTCCGTCAGTAGTTGATTTCTGGGAGTCTTTAAAACAGGACCTTAGACAAATTCAGTTGAATTTTCTCGTACTATCTCCCATGATCGCGCGCATGATCGAGTGCTATTAACGAAAAAATTAATTAGCTTAAAAGCTGCTCTTGTTGCTGGTAATTTCTTTGTCAAATCTGCAATTTTCCGTACTGAAACTGACTTGAACACAACCTATATGCAAGAAATAGAAGAAAGGTGACCGTAAGTGTCTTAAAAATTGGCGCCCAATCTCTGTGTTAAATATCGATTATAAAATTTGTTCTAAAGCAGTGTCTCCCCGTTTGTCTAAAGTTTTAGGCTTGGTTACTAGTACTGACCAAACGTGTTCTGTTCCAGGTCAATCAACTGTTTCAAATCCAACCCTCCTTCTTGATACTCTTGACCATGTTTCCCGAACTAATGAGACTGGTATCCTGGTCAGTTTAGATCAAGAGAAAGCATTTGATAGAGTTGATCGCTCATTTCTTCTTAAGTTATTAGACCATCTTGGCTTTGGCCCTAGTTTCTGTCAATGGATTTCGACATTATATAGTGGTGCAGTTATACGTATTATTGTTGATGGTTACCTTTCAGATAGAGTTAATTTGTGTGGAGGTGTTCGGCAAGGTGACTCTCTGTCACCCATGCTTTACATGCTCTCTGTTGAAGTCTTAGCGTGCAAAATTAGAGATTCTTCCGATATAGTTGGTTTTTCATTGCCCGGTGCTCAAGGCCGTCAATACTATAGGTATCAGTAAGTTAGTCTAAGTCTCAAAAGTTCTCATTCTGCCCAGATGGGTCATCGATCGTTTAAATAAGCTAATTTGGTCTTTCCTTTGGGGCTCTAAGATTGAAACTGTTAGCCGCCATACTGTTTTCTGCCATGCCCGGGACAGCGGGCTTGGTTTAGTTAATTTTTCTTTGAAGGCTAAAGCTTTACGCTTGGCCAGTTTGCTTCGTGTTTTGGATGACCTGTCGTCTGCGCGTTTTTACCTCGCTAGGTATTTCTGCAGCAGTAGGCTGTCCCGCTTGCCCCCTGAGTGGGCTTTTTTGCGGGACAACCGCTTTCAAAACGCGTTTTTTGCTTCTTGTTTTTATTCTGAGTGTCTCGCTGTTGCCAATTCCCTTTGTGTTCCTAGTGATTTTCTTTTTTTCCTCTAAGTCCCTCTATGAGGAGCTGAGGAAGGTCCGTTCGTCTGCTCCTCCTTTGCATCATCATTGGAAGAGTCTCGCTCCTGCTTCCTTTTTAATTAAGTCGCATTGGAAGCTTGTGTGGGGCTCTTTTGCCGAAAATTTTAAGAATGACCTCTTTTGGTTTATTTCACTGAAGGCTGTTAAAGTGCATGATAGTTTGTGTCAGTGGGGGTACATCAAGTGCCCCGTTTGCGCTAGTTGCCCCCGTAGGGAAACAATTGATCATTGTTTCCTGCATTGTAATCGAGTTAGACTAGACTGGCGTTTTTTCTTCTTCTTCTTGCCTTCTTCATGGCTCCCTTCGTGTTTTCATAAATAATGTGCCTTCTGTATTTTTTTGAGTTTATGACTCCCTCTTTGAACTATAAAGAAGTCCTTATGTATTTAGTGCAAACAATAGTCTATGCAATTTGGAAATTTAGGAATCGGGCTACCTTCTATAATGGTCACGATGATCACTGAGCGATCATTAAGTATGTTTTACAAGATGCTAAGTTCCATAGTCATTGTGATTTTTTGTCTCTGTCTCTTACCCTGTTTTATTCCAAATGGGTTTTCCCTGGCCTAGGGAAAGAAACCCGGAAAAGAACGAAAAAGAACCGCAGTCTGGTCCTGGAAACAATGCACAGACAAGAAAGCCTGTAACCGTAATAGCAGGAGATTCAGTCATGTGGTTGGAGCCTTTCTAAAACCAACAAGGTGGTCGCAAAGCCCTTTCCTGGTACAACAACTTAGGACATGGAAGACTTTATCAAACCCATCCTTAGAAAAGATCCTTAGAATATTACAATCCGTGTTGGAACCAACGACGTAAACTACAAAGAACCTAGATTAACAGCCGAAGGCATTGTTAACCTGGCTCTTCACATTGAAGGTGACACGCCAAACACCAACATAGCTATTTCGGGATTAGTTTCCAGGGTGGATGACAAAGAAGGAAAAGTCTCAAGTGTCAACAAAATCCTCAAAAATCCTTCTGCCACCAGAACCACTGGAACTCTATTGAACACAATAATGTCAACCTAACTCATTTAAATCGGGGCGGGCTACCTTTATCTAAGTCCGGCACTGCCCTTTTAGCAGAGAACTTTTGTAATTATATAGATTAGGCCATTGCCATTTGGGAGTACGATCATATTCCTGACCCACCGATATCTACAAATCGCAGATCCACACAAAACGCAAATGGTAAGTTGGTTTTTGATCATGGCTTGGTTATGGCTTGTTAAAACATAAACAGTTTAGTTTCTCATATCGATGATTTACGCGTATTTATGAGTCAGTTCAAAGATATTGATATTCTAGCTATAAATGAAACAAAGCTTGATGCGACCATCAAAGACGGTGAAGTACATCTACCAGGGTATGATGTAGTTCGCAAAGACCGGGAGAGCAATGGCCAGAATGATGGTGGTGTTTGTATTTATGTTCGTAGTAATATCAATTTTCATCTTCATGCTGATCTTAGTCCGAATAATCTTGAATGTCTCACTGTTGAAATGTCTAAACCCTGCTCAAAGCCTTTCCTCGTGTCTACCTGGTACAGACCACCACAATCATCTCCTGATCTCTTTTTAACCTTTGAGAGAATTATAAAATTGACGCTGAAAACTTGGAGCTATATCTTATGGGTGACTTAAATTGCAATTTATTATCGGAGGTTGTCAATAACAACTCTTCTCACCTCTTAAATATCATCGATATTTATGGTCTGACTCAACTTATTACAGAACCAACTCGAGTCACACAATATTCAAGTAACCTGATCGATTTATGCCTAACGAATTCCCCAGATAAGATATCAAAGTCAGGTGTTACTAATATTTGCATAAGTGATAACTCTAGTGTTTATCTTACACGCAAAGTTGCTCATCTTCACTCCAATATGCATAAGACTGTGGAAGTCCAACAGCTCAAGAATTTCAATAAAGCTGAATTTTTTGCAAGATCTTCGCATCATTGACTGGAACCACGTTACAACGCACAATAACCCAAAGAAAATGTGGGAGTTTTGGAAATGCCCGTAAAAGGTGTTATTGATAAGGATGCACCGTTCAAAACAAAAAGGGTTAAAAACAAACGGTCTCCCTGGATTACTAATGAGCTGTTGTGTGAAATACATAAGAGATTTTCTAAAAAAGAAAGCTGCATCTACAAATGACCCTTCGATTTGGAAACAGTTTACAGATGCAAGACATAGGGCCAATAACTCAGTAATGACAGCTAAACATAAATACTTTTTTGAAAACCTTGATGCAAACAAAAGTGATCCTCGTAAAACCTGGCGTTTAATTAATGAACTCCAATCTCGGCAAAGTAAATCAACCAAGGTGTCTCAAGTAAAACAGGAAACCAAGTTTTCACCTCACCTGGTGATATTGACCAAGAGAAGGCATTTGATGGCGTTGATCATTCCTTTCTTCTTAAGTTATTAAACCATCTTGGCTTTGGCCCTAGTTTCTGTCATTGGATTGCGATATATAGTGGTGCATTTATGCGTATTATTGTTAATGGTTATCTGTCTGATAGAGTAAATTTGTGTAGAGGTGTTCGGCAGAGTGACTCTCTGTCACCCATGCTTTACATCCTCTGTGTTGAAGTCTTGGCGTGTAAAATTAGGGATTCTTCTGATATAATTGGGTTTTCATTGCCTGGCGCTGATGGACGTCACTTTAAAGTAGGTCAATACGCAGACGATACAACGAGGTTTGTTAAATATACCTGCTAGCATGTTCTCTTTCGGGAGATTCGTTTAAACGAGTGGGGTAGTGGGGCCAAGCTCAATCTGTCGAAGACTGAGGCGATGTGGCTTGGTTCTTGGAGAGGTTGCCCAGATCAGCCCCTCGGGCTTGCCTGGGTAGCTAAAATGAAGATTCTTGGTGTTGTTTTTAGTTCGGGTCTTTCTGATGTATCTGTAGATAATTGGGAACCGCGCCTTTCTAAGCTTGAGAAATCACTTAATCATGGAAGTTGCGTTCCCTGTCTTTAGTCAGTAAATCTTTAATAATTAATACTTTACGAATCAGTAAGCTAATTTTTGTCTCGCAAGTTCTTGTTGAGCCGCGATGGGTCATTGATCGCTTAAATAAGCTAATTTGGCCTTTTCTGTGGGGCTCTAAAATTGAAACTGTTAGCCGCCATACTGTTTTCTGTCACGCCCGGGACGGCAGGCTTGGCTTAGTTCATTTTTCTGTAAAGGCTAAAGCTTTATGCTTGGCCTGTTTGCTACGTGTTCTGGATGACCCGTTGTCCGCGTGTTTTTACCTCGCTAGATATTTTTGTGGCAGTAGGCTGTCCCACTTGCACCCTGAGTGGGCTTCTTTGCAGGACAACTGCTGTCCTAATAGTTTCTTCCGTTCTGGTTTTTATTCTGTCTCGCTGTAGCTGTATCTCTTTGTGTTCCTAGTGTTTTTATTTTTTCCTCTAAGTCCCTCTATGAGGAGCTGAGGAAGGTTTGTTCGTCTGCTCCTCCCTTACATTACCATTGGAAGAGTCTCGCTCCTGTTTCCTTCTGAATAAAGTCGCATTGGAAGCTGGTGCGAGGCTCTTTTGCTGAAAACTTTAAGAATGATCTCTTTTGGTTGATTGCCTTGAAGGTTGTTAAAGTGCGTGATAGTTTGACCATTGAAACAATTGACCATTGTTTCCTGCACTGTAATCGAGTTAAATTAGTCTGGTCTTTTTTCTTCCCCTCCTTTCCTCCTTTATGACCCCCCCTCGTGTTTTCGTGAGTAACGTGCCTTCTGTTTTCTTTTTTGAGTTTACGGCTCCTTCTTCAAAATATAAGGATATCCTTATTTATTTAATTCACATAATTGTTTATGCAATTTGGAAATTCCGGAATCGAGCCACTTTCTACAATAGTCATGATGACCACCCAGCGATTATTAAGTACGTTTTACAGGATGTTAAGTTTCGTCTTCGTTGTGATTTCCTGTCTATGTCCAGTACCTTGTTCTATTTTTGATGGGTTTTCCCTGGCCATTGTCAGGTTGTGGGCGATAAATTGATTATAGTCTTCCCGTAATGTTTTGCAAATAGCTTCTTAATACTCGTTATCACCTGTCCTTTTTGAGCCTGATTGTAATCCTGCCAGTAAATATTCTTTAGTGATTAGTTCTAGTGATCTTGTAAATAGGTTCCGCTGATTTTTTATTAAACTTTTATAATATCCATCCGTTCTTATCGGTCACGTTTTTGGTGTATCTGCCGAAAACGTGAACGGTTCCTTTTCCCGCACTTAGATCGCCTTGCTTTTGGACTTTTTTGCTTCGTTTCGCTGTGGAGATTCTGTTTGTGAGGTTTGTTTTGTCGTTTTTGGTATTTATTTTCGTCTTTGGAGTGGATTTATCTTACACCGCCTGACAAGTGCTTTGCGCGATGGCTGCGTGACCTTCGCGCACACAAAAACTGTGTGACTGATTGTCGAAGAAGGCATGGATGTAAACGCAATCGAAATTGTGAGGTCTCTTCCCCGTTTCAAGGTGGAAATCACCGGCATTGTCCCTAATCTCGGGGGCAAATGCTTTGATATCACACTAAACTCTACAGACGCTGCAACATGCTTGGCCACGTCTGCCTTCGACTATGGGCCTGAAAGAAAGCCGTTGAAATTACTTGGTGCGAGAACCATCCACGTTTCAGTGTTTCCCGCTGTGGAATACCCTGACCAAGACATTGTAAATTTTCTAAAGCAGTATGAACAGTTAAAGTCCGAAAATCTATGCCGCCTCTGTCATACCGAGGAGGTTTTACATCTATCAAGAGTGGTATCGGTGTCGCAGAATTCACGTCACTCAACAGAGATCTACCCAGGAAAGTTGTGACCCAAGGTCTCGTAATATTTTTTAAATATACGGGCCAGCTGATTACATGCTACCGCTGCGGATCGACTGAATATGTGCTTAAAAACTGCCCGAGGCAGCCCTCACGTTTCAATCATATACACGTGGAGGATCATGTTCTCTCTGCCCCACCTAACCCCCCTAATTCCCAGGAAATGCAAGAAACACAGATGGAAACGACTGGTGCAGAAGATTCTGATGATGAAATTTCTGAGAGCGTTAGCAGCGAGACGTTATCGTCAATGCTAGACCTATATTCTGGGGCTGTTTCTCGCGATCTTTTCGCCGAGCCAAGCGAGGGCTCGAGCAAATGAACTCCACTTTCCCCAGTTAAATCTGGAAACCCAGAAGCTAAAAAAGTCGCTGGGGCAATCAAAAATCCACACAAAAATTAACCACAACCTTAGAGAGTATCGCCGGCCATCAAATTTCTTCAGAAGGCCCTTAAACAAACTGATGTTTGGCGTAAACAACATCGTTGATCGCGTGAATTCACCTGATTTAACTCTGATTTTTCTATTGCTAGTCGCCTTGATAAATTCTGTATCTCCTGACGAGTCTGCCTCATTTTCGTGTTCCCTGTCCTCCTATAGGTTAATGGCCGAGCTGTTAGGGCCTCGTACTGTCTAGATGTTATTGGATCCCTGTCTATACACACTGTACTGTCCTTAAGAGCTTGGCCAAGTGTCTGTTCTCGCACTCAGCCAATGATATCTCCCTGTCCTCGCATAGGGTGCCAGATGCATCATGGTACCATATCTAAGATGGGCAGGCAGCCAACCACCCTAGGTCTGGAGCACCTAAAAGGGCATCGCTTCTCGGCCTTTTGGCTAGATCTCTATTTCTCATCTTGGAGGAATTTTGTTGCGATTGTTGAAGAAGAAATTTAGAAGTTTGCTTTTTTTCGGCTGGCGGCAGAGTGGGTAAGTTTTTTCTCTTGAATTTTCTCATCCATGTTTTCTCGCCGTCATGCCTGAATGGATCCTGAATATCAATGACCCGCTTGCCGCTGCGATCCCTCGAAGATCTGATGATTATGTTGTTGTTCCTGACGAAATTAATTCAGAAGTGAGTTTGATTGATGGCTCTGTGGATACAGCTGAACTTTATGAAGATGTTTCTGCAGATGAAAGTTTTGAAAATGAGGAGTTTTTGGATGAGGTTTCTAGACTTGAATGGGATTATTTTGATTCTCTTCATGTAGACAAGGCTCCTGTTAATTCTGCCGTTTTACAGCGCCACGTAATGTACATGATAGATTTCTCACTGACTTCGAACGCAATAATTTCCACGTCGAAAATATCACTCCTGATAGGCCACGTTCGGCTTTTTTTCGAACAAGCCAATTTCTGTCTCCTGCTGAGGTGTTGAAGGCACTTAACAACGATGGTTTCACTACAAACTATATTCGCTGCCTGCAGCGTAAACCGGCCGGCGAAATGTATGTAACTTTTTGCACTGCTGATTTGCATGATAAATTTATCCAGCAGCGCTCTTTCTCCTTGACCAGCAAGCCTCATGTTGCAAATGATGCGGATGGCTCCACTGTTTTTCTTACAATTTATGACGCTCCGTACAAGCTACTGGATACTGCAATTATTTACCGCCTTCGGCCATTTTGTGAGGTTCTTTGGTACCTACGTGGCACTTTTCGAGCACATGATGGTGTATTCAACGGATTACGTCATTTTCGTGTACGCATGCTTAATGCTATTCCAAGTTATCTCTGCTTCGGTAAGTTTCTATTGCGATTATCACACGATGGACAGGTCCCGACCTTTCGCCGCTGTAACCGCCGTGGTCATCAGGCATCAGCTTGTGGGAATACCATTTGTTTTGACTGTGATGGCCTTGGCCATACCACCCATGATTGTGTTAAACCCATGTACCGTTGTATCTGTAAGAGTGGTCAGCATCTTGCCCAATCGTGTTCGTTTTCTTGCCACAGGCCGGTATCCCCTCGTGCGTCCCATGTTGTGGATCTCGAAGAAGACCTGGCAATGTCACATGGTTGTGTTAAAAATTCTCCTGCTGTCGATCTGGAAAGCCATTCTCCACATCCCCCTTCTTTTCGTCGGTTAGTTGTTGACCCTGAGTCAGTGTTGGCTGAAAACAGTGTACAAGATCATCCATCTGAAGAACTAGAAAGTGAGGAAATTGAAAACGATCAAGCTGCTGTTGTGGAAACCCAGCAATCGGATGTGGATAGTACTGGGCTGCGAATCTTGGATTCCCAAGGTCATCTTGTTTCTAGTGTTTCCCCACCCAGATCAGCCTATTCCTCGTGTGGAGCCGCGTGTTGAGTCCATGATCGATGAGTGTACCCCCCGGCCCTCTCTGTTTCTGCAAATGTAAGTGAATCATCAAATGTTCCTGAGTCTGCTAATATTTCTGCTCCTGAGGATCGTAATGTCTCCGAGTCTGCCAGTGACCCTGTTCCCCCCGCGCCTGAGGAACATTTCTACTGCTTCTTGGGTGGAGATCTGTGATAATTCTCCATCAGTTCATCGACTGCCGCCGGTGGCTAACCCTCGGCAGCCTCCTACAACTTCTTTGGGTCGTCGAAAACCAGCCCCTGTTGTCGCTACAGCTCCTCAACGGAAGCCAACCAGGCCATCTCTGGGCGGAGCGAAAAAACCTGATGATTCAGAGGATATCGATACTCAGCCTTTCAGTTTAAAACGTAAGGATCCACCTCCTGATTCTTAAATGTTTAAGGTAGCCTGTATTAATTCGCGATAATTTGATCTTCAGCATGAGCTGTGTATTTTTGATGCAAGGAATTTTGATCTTTGTTTTGTTCAAGAGGCTTTTGTTGCTAGACCCGATGCCATTAAGCTTTTGTCTTCTCGCCGGCCTGGGTCCAGTTTTTGGTCCCCTGCAATCGGTAAGAAGGGGGGTGTTGTTATTTTGATCTCTGAACATTTTCCTGGAAAAGTTTTATCGTGGCGTAAAGATTGAGGGGGTCGTATTGTTAGTTTGCTTGTTTTCTTTAACGTTGTTAAGTATAATTTCGTCAATATTTATGCGCCCACCAATCCGGCACATCACAAATCCTTTTTTGAAACTTTACATGAAATCTTTTTCCCAGCCGATTTTTCGATAATTGGCGGTGATTTTAATTGTTATGAGTACGATTCCGATAAATTTGCAGCCCACTTTCCCTTGGGGAAGAAATATTCAATTAATAAGAGACCGATTTTTTTTCCTTTACTTGTTTTATTAACATCTGGGTACCCTGTGGCTCACTGATCTCCCCCTTGCCAGGCTTCTATTTAGGCGAGCCGTCGGTCACATAACAGGAGTCCCGTGACCGTCTGGACTTGCGCAGTTACCACAAGGGCTCTAAGAGGAAAGGAGTTTTTCCGCTGCAGGCCGTTGGTCCTAGATTTTCATACTTACCTGACGCTCGCGACGCGCTCCTAATACCATTTTTGGTCTAGGTTTGCTCGCTTGTGGTAAGTGTTGCTGCTCCTTCCTGGTGCGTGTTCTTCCCTTCGTGGATACCGCCTCTGGACTTTGCAGTTTTTGGTGGCCTTCGCCTTGCAGTGGTAGTTGGGCTCCTTGGTTCACGGATCTGGTTGTGTAAGTTTTTACTCTTTTTTGTTTTTTAGTTGGGTTGCCCCCCCGGTTCCGCTTTTAGTGGGCTTTGGGTGGTCCCCCCGTCCCCTGTTGGGCGTTGCCCATAAGGGTTTTTTGGGTCTCTCTTTTTTTTGGTTCGGTTGGGCTTTTTGGTCGCCCTTCTCCTTTTTTCCCCCGCCCGTCAGGGCTTAACTTTTTTGGTTTGGTATTGCTATGTCTCGTGCGCGCACTTTTCCGTGCACCGTCTCTGTGGATGTCTCGGGCCTTGCGGCTCAGGGCTCGTCCCGTCCGGATGTTGTTTCGGCCATTGTCGATCAGTTTGGGACTATGCCACTTGCGGCTGTTCAGTTTTTTGGCACTGAAGCCAAGGTTACCTTTGAGCAACAGGAACATAAACGTAGTGTTATGCAGCACCATTCTGTTTGTATTAGGGGGGTGGATTGTGACATTCGTGGTGGGGGTCCTCGCCCTCAAAATGTTCTCACTTACAATTTCCCCTTTGAAATTGGGCATGATGTTGTCAAGGCTGCATTAAGTTTTTTTGGAGATGTTGAGTACGTTCGGTTTCGTCACTAGACCCACCTTGTTGATGTTTGTGACGGTGTTCGCACGGTGAGGATGGTCCGTACTCGGGCTATCCCCCGTAACTTGATCATTGATGGCTTCCCGGTGAAGGTTTCCTATGTGGGCCAAGAGCCCGAGTGTGACATCTGTGGAAAGAAGGGGCACATTGCACGATATTGTGATATGCGGGGAAAATGTATGGAATGGAAACGTCGTCGTCTTGCTAATCCTGATCTTGACCTCCCCGAGGTTAGTGAGTCTGTTGTTTCTGTTCCCGGTATGCCTGAGTCTGCCTCTGCCGGGGTTGCTGCTGTTCCTGTTGACTCTGCCCCTGCGGGTCTTCCGGCTGAGATCCAAGATGGTGCCCGCTCTCCGGAGGCGGGGGATGCTTCCTACCAGGCTGTTAGTCAGTCGATTCTGGCTGATGTTTCCGCTCCCTGTGTTCTGAGTGAGTCTGTTGACTCCCGTGATAATCAACTGGATGAGCTTGTTTCTCTGGGGTCCATTGGCGTTGGCACAAATTGTTCCGACTCCTTGTTTGGAGCGGTTGTTACTACTCCAAGTTCCAATTTGTCTGGGGACCACCCTCCAAATTCCCATTTGTCTGTACTTAATGTCAATAAATCTTGTGATAATGCTATTAGTAATGACATAGTTAATAGTGAGCCAAGTAAGAGTGGCAGTAGTGGTATTAGTAATGACATAGTTAATAGTGAATCAAATATGAATGATGATAGTAATGTTAGTGATATGCAAAGCAATAATGACATTAGTTCTGTTGATAATGATGAAGTTAATGAAAATGTCTATGAAACTAGTAGTGAAGGTTTGTTATCTGATGAGGACTCTAGTGATAATGATAGTGATGATGAGGAGCAACTTAGTGTTAAGAAATCTACCAATGGAGTTCCTAGTGTTAATATTGTCAGTCCTGGCTCTAGCCTGTGTGGCCCCTCTGTCTCGTCGGGTAGTCGGCCTCCCCTGTCTAGATTGCCTGTTGTGGTGGGCAAAGGCTCTAGCTCTGCCATTGGTTCCAAAATTCCTAAGGTTCCTGACGCAGGTGTTCGTAAGGCCAGTAGCCCCCGCCCTGCTG